TCTCCATCGCCGTCTCCTCCGCCTCATTCATCAGAAGAGACTCGTTATATGTTGACTGGGAGCCGCCTTCTCCTCCGCTTCTCGTCGTCGTGTTGATGCTCTTCATTTTCTTGGCTAAGTTCTTGAAGGAAGCTATTCTTTTTCCTAGCATTTTTCTTTTTTAACAAAAATATATTTATAGTTTTTTTCCTCTAGAAACTCGTAGAAGAATTAAGATTATGAAGATGAAGAAGATGGTTGGTGATTATATACCAAGATGAGATATATAACAATATAATAAAAAGAGAACTAGCGAGCTTTTGACTTTATTTTATTTTTGTTTTTCGTAATTTTTTTTTTTGTCTGTGTTGACTTCGAATAGTGGGGTGCATTTCTTAGCCGAGGGAAATGAATTTTTAAAAAATTATTATATATTTTTGATAATCAAAATGCATATATCTCGTCGCAAATCATGGTTACGTGATATGTGTCTTTTGAGACTAAAATTGCACCACTTATTATTTTACCTTAGTACCTTACGCAAGCGATAGGTTATCACGGAGGTTCGTACGTATTCGTATATACGGTCCGTGACATTTAATTTAATATATGAAATGTCATTCTTGATTTAAGATTAAATATATGGCCTTTTAATCACAGAGATGATTGCTTGTTTTACAAAACTAATGATTTTTCTGATGACCGAATATTCAAGTTCACATAAGAGTAAAGAGTTGGTGATCATCCAATGCCTTATCGGATATAGTACATAACTATAAGCCGAATATTATTTTAAATTAATGGATGGAAACAAAATGTATGGAATCCAAGCAACAGATGTTTCCATATGATGAACTCTAGTATTTTTAAGTGATGTTTCTTACATATTTGCATGTTCATCTAAGCATGTACATATACTTTTTAGTAGTAGGTAAGATGTCATAAAGCAGTGTCGTATTTAAGTGTATAAGATATACCTACCTATATAATAATATGAGAGTTGGAGTCACTAATTGCATGTTGACATATATGCATGAATTTGTTGATTAATATCCCATTAAAGAAATCATCCAAATGTGGTTAGTTTGAGTGGTTATAAAGGATACAAATTGTTTTGAAAATACCAAATGAATCCATGTTTTGAAATATAATGCAATTTGTAGATCAATGATTCAATATCGATATATAAGTGGATAATCTCATATGAAATACAGTTTACGCGAATTATTATAGTATACGTGTCATCTATGTAAAGTAAAATCATAAACAACTATGATTTATATATTTGACTAAAAAGACATATATGATTGTGTATATTTGTAGAAAAGAATGATTCTCTAGCCGGCTCTGTAGGCCGGCTTCTATACAACGAGAGCCGATTATAACTTATAGTTGTTACCATTATCTGTGTTTATATTATTCAATTAGCTGTTCTTGTTATCTTAGTTTTTAAATTCATATTAATAACTTCTTGCTGACCATTAAGGTCAGCATAAAGAAGAAAACAAAAGTGTATCAAATTTTATTTCCAACTTTAAAACGGCTGATTCAATTGTTATTATAACTTTGTTTCTGTTATGATTATTGGCCAGTTAATGATTGGATTTGGTAATGCTTAACACCAACCTCCTAGGCATAGGTCGAGAATATCTACCAAAGTGGGTACGTGAAAAAAGAATTTAAGAAAACTCATTAGGTTTGTTTTAACTTGTACATATTCGGAGTCAATATGCTTGCTTACAGGATTTTTATTTTATTTTTTGGAGTCTGCGATAAATCTTAATTTGTAGTGAAAAATATGTAGGAGAGGCAACTAGAAAAAAGGATGGTTTGGAGCTGGAAACTGTTGAGAGGTGGTGGAGACAAGTGGTTGGGCCACAATACTTTTGACTTTGTACAAAGTCAAAGGTTTATAGCTTTTCGAAATTCTTCTAGTAGGCCCCCATTGAACTCAAGTGATCTACTTAACAATCTATGGACTATCTTTTCCTTCACATGAATCGAATTTGAGATTACATTCCATAATGTATTGCTAGGCCTAGGCTAGGCTAGTTCTGTGAATATGACTCTTATCTCTCTCTTCTTCCAATATGTTTGGGTTTAATTTATGAGTATCTATCACCAAATTAATGCGTATCTTCACCGGCCCGGCCCAACAAGTTTTGCAGTTCCAAGACAAAAAAAAATTGCCCTGGTTGGCTGGTTCAGCAATTACTGATTTTTTTTTACTATCAACATATTTCATAATATTTCATAATATTCTTATTACGTTATAGTATGTATAATACCATATTTTATCTTATACATGCTAATTAAATGCTAGATAATTTACCTTTAAGGTCTAGTGCTTTCTTGGCAACTGAAACACGTAGACGAATGAAATCTTATTCATGATAAATTTTGAAAAATAGTTCCTTGTGCGGGAACTGAATTAGTCAAATATGTCATTCGTGACGAAGACAACTAGAAGAAGCAATAAATAATTTAGCTTCTAGTAACTGTGGAGTGTGGTCCTTGTGGAGAGCTCAACAGTGACTTAAGAATTACGAATTCACTATAAAACTCGAAATAGAATTTTTCTTCCATCTATGCTTTTAGGATAAAGTTTTGTAGAAAACAAACAATATCACTATCTAGCTGGTTTTAATCGATAAAGGGCAAAGAAAACTTCTAGAAACCATATTGTGTCGTAGAAAGGGTCGAGTTCATACTCGTCTTTATTATTAATTAGTCTAATGGTTGGACATTTGACTGCAAACAAGTTTCAAATCCTTTGACGCTCTTATCTTAAATTCTCATCAGAGATGACGTAAGCTTAGTCAATGACTTTATCGAATCAGCCCGAAAACCGTATGTAGCCAATTCTCTTGTTTTCTAACCTATTTTTCAAAATAAAAATCACTGTCCTTTTTATATGACAAAAGAAAATGGCCAACGTATTGATGAGAAATTAGAAAAAATATGTAGTGGTTTAATATTCCTGGTTACTATTTAGATCATCATGTAAATAACCCTGTTGGGCACTCGATAAACTGCCCATAAGCCATAAGGGTTTGACTCAGTATTTAATATTTGTCAGCAAATAAACATTTTTCTAGATAATTAGTTCTTAAGATACGAAAGAAAAACGAATCCTCAAAGTTTGACCAGTATTTCGGAAAAATATGGAAGAAAAACTTATAGAAAGCTAACACGAGGATGGAAAGGCTGGCTACTTAAACAATATTGCATCGTATGCTTTAGAAAAGTTTTATAAAGCAAATTAAATTAGTCTGTGTTTTTAGCTTTTTTGCATGATTTCTATATTTGATCAAATGATGCGATATCAAAGAATTAAGTAATAACAACACGTTACTAAAGATACCGTACCAGTGGTAGCCTAAAACTGAAGAAATAATTAAAAAAAAAAGTTAAACCTTCCGGCAAAAATAATTGCGGTAAAAAATAATAATAGTATAACGCTTCATTTGGTCGCAACAATGATCTATGTTATAGCTAGCGATACAACGTCACCAATAGAGACTAATATTTTCAACGTCAAAGTGTGATTTCTTGATAGGCTAATATCAATAGAGGAAGAAATGTCATAGTAAGTCGAAGTGTATAGGACCCCCGAAATGTGATATGTCGGACTGCACATGACAGGCCAAATGTTCTAGTCGATTGCATCAATCAGTTTTAGGTTATTATATTATATTATTTTCGGTTCCCTGAATTTTGTGGAAAACGATAATACACAATTCCGCTAGACATACATATGGGTATGTGGTCTACTGGTTTTGCATCTTCAATTATATTTCGATCATAGGCCAAATTATGCGTTAAAAATATGTATGTGTAAACATAAATAAATTGTGAGAAATCAGAGGACATTAAACAGAAACTAATACCAGTCTTCTAAATTAGTGATAAAACATAAATTCTTGTTATTTAAGGCATTCACGAATCACGGTTGTTGTTAATCACGCTTAAAGTCAGAATGGTCCAAAGTTATTTTTTAATCTAAGATGAATCAATCAACTAATAAAACAAGATGAATTGATTTGCATAATATAATGATTGAGCCGGAAAATGTAATTTAGCATGGGTCCGGTCTACCTTATATCTTTCTTGGTTTTCTATTGTAAAATCGTTGTCTAACCATATTATAAACATCTTAAAAACTGTTGTTTTACAAATTACAACAAATCTTTTTTCCGTATTATCAGTGTCTAGATAATGCATGGTGAATTAATTAGGTTTCTGCTTCTTATTGACAGTATCTTGCTGAATTTTTGTACGTTTATATTAATTAATATTGCACCTGAAAATAAGGAATTGATTTAGAAGCTTCCAAATGATTTGGTGCCATTCCAAATTAATTAAGATGCAAAATTAAGAAGGATACATTATATCATATGAGTCAGCTAACTGGATATGAAAAGGACGAATCGGCCGCCAAAAAAATGAGACCGAATCTTTTATTATGCTGGATTATGAATGTATACACACGTAATGAGGCAAAACTAATCATAAATAGTATACATAATACACTTAAGAAAAACAAAATACAAATTAAACCGCGTTAGTAGCATCGTTTAGCTGGTTTCTTTTTCAGTTTCAACCTGTATCAATTAATTTGATAGCTGTGGATAATACTGAATTTTTTTTAAAAAAATTAACCTTAGTCACTAATTTGACGCAATATGAAAAAGATAATATAAATATATGAAAATCTCTCCAAAATAACTACAAAACCAATTTTCACGATCTAGTCATCTTAACACTTACAAATATTCAAATCATATTGTATATCATTTTTTAAAAAAATCCACTTTAGGTATATCGTATATACAATTAATTTTCGTTGCATTTTTCTGGTTTTTAAATTGTTTTCTTACGTCGACTCTTCGTCCTCCGGGTTTTCCGAGCACAAGTCATAATCAAACAATAAGAAGACAAAAAGAAAAATAAAATCTGAAAAAGAACCTTATATAGTCTTTTGTAATATAAAAAGCCCTACTCGCATCTATCGTTTCTTCACCTCTAATTTCTATCACTAAAATATCAAAAGCTTTCACATTACAATTTTTCTCTCTACAAGCTCTCTATGCCACAAGTCGATCTAGAAGCCTTTGTTTCTTCAGTATGTGTCGGTGGCTCCGACCACCGGAAGATCGCATGCGAAACCCTCGCCGACGACCAGACGATCCCACCTTATTACAACAACTCCGCCGTTAGTCCGAGTGATTTTCCACCGGAATCTTATTTCTTGTCAAAAGATGCTCAGCTCGAGTGGCTCAGCGACAACGCCTTCTTTGATCGTAAAGATTCACAGAGAGGAAACTCTGGGATTCTCAATTCTAATCCAAACTCGAATCCAAGCTCGCAACGGTTTTTACTCAAATCCAAAGCGTCGATCATCGGTTTGCCGAAACCGCAGAAAACGTGTTTCAACGAGGCGAAGCAGCGGAGACACGGTGGCAAGAACCGAGTCATCCTGAAACGGGTCGGGTCACGAATAAAAACGGATACTTCGCTTCTTGAACCTTCTTCTCCTATAGTCTCTTGCATCGGTAGAGTAAAATCCAGAAGAGAACGCAGCCGCCGTATGCACCGTCAAAAATCAAGTCGGGTCGAACCGGCGAACCGGGTTAAGAAACCCGGGTTTATGGCGAGTTTCAGAGCCATCTTCAGGATCAAAGGCGGCTGCAAAGACGTGTCAGCGCGTGAGACTCACACGTCGCCAAGTAACACACACGACATCAGGAGTAGGCTTCCGGTGGAAGCTGTTGAGAAGTCGTCATTCGACGGCGGAGAACCGGTGGTACCCGGTTTGGGTGGGATGACGCGTTTCGCATCTGGAAGAAGAGCGGATTTGTTGGCTGGTGGAGGATGTTGACGTGGCGCGTGTGACAAGTGTAATACATATGGGGTCCAGTGATATAGTGTTTTTAAGTCTCAGGGGGAAAGTAGGAATAGTACTTTGGTTGTCTTGTCTGAATATTTTGGTGGTTGTAATTTTTGAAAAGTCGTTGGTGATGACGTGGCAACTGATCAACGTTTTTTTCAGAAAGAAACACGGCAACGCGAAAGCGGTGATTTCACACCCACCGCACTGTTTTTGTTTTCTTCTAGTTTCCGTTGTATATAGTCAGTTTAAATGTTATTATACCTGTATATGCGTATATGCGTATTTTGTCAAACAAAATGTATTTTGTATGTATTGTTTGATTGTTGGAATGCGATTGTCAAACCATAAACTTGATTAATCGAAAAAATATTCAAATTTGACAAACTCTTGAAGAGTTATTGTAATACCCCAAAATTATGCCAATCAAATCAGAAGAAAATACATATATGAATAATTTTACAGGTCTAAGTTTGAAAAGAAGCACAAAAGTTTAAGCTGAAGATTAATGTTGCAAAATTTGAAGATTAAAGTTTGGGGTAATGCAAATAAAAAAAAGAGCGAAAGTGAAAATGGCGATATCAGTGGAGTGAGAGCTGCTTGTGATGCCAAGCGACAACGTCTTTGTATGGAAGATTTCCCCCGAAAATGTCTAAGGCACTTCCCACTGTTACATCCACACGTCCCTTTCCTGCTGCTTTGATCCTCTCTACATCATCCATCACTGTCACACCTCCAGCATAAGTTACCGGAATCTGTCAAGGTCAAATTAAACATCTGAGATCATGCAGCCCAAATGAACAATTCTGCAATCGAGCTTTCTCTACGAATCCTAGTTCTCAGCCTATCTCTATATCTCCAATGAAGCATAACCCATCCAATCCAATTCCGGTTTTATTAACATCTATAGCATCACAAGTTTGCTGAATTGAGTATAATTCTGTTGATTAGTAGGTTAGTAAGATTAGTTTTAAGTCGTATGAAAAATAAAGCACCTTGTTAAGAACAAGTAGAGCCTTTATATATTACTCACCGGAGAATAGTTGCCAAGCAATGCTACAAGCTCTTCGTCGATCCCGAGCCTAAAGTGAAGAAGCATTACTATCTCTGATCAGTACATACTGACTAAATACTGTATTTTCATAGCAAAACGAATTTACTCAAAGACACTGAAATCACAGCGTTGAGATATTTAAGCTTACTTCTTTCCTTCAACATCTACGCCATGCACCAGAAACTCATCTGCAAATCCTCCAAGAAACTCCAATGATTTCTCGTCAAGGATGACGTCGCTGAACTTCTGCCATCTATCAGTAACGATTGCATATCTTCCATCCTGTGCAACAAAATAACCATATAAATACCTCAAATGCGGAACTTTTTCATGACAGAAAAACATTAAACTGAAGATGAAACTGGTAAGAGAATCACCTTCTTTCTGCAGCTAAGGTCCAATATAAGTCTTTGTTTCCCAACAATGCTCACAAGATCTTTGAGTCTTTCAAGATCAATCTTTCCATTGTTAAACACATACTGAAATACTCAACAAAAATGTGAATATCATCAGCTAGACTTACTATGATAACATATTCAATCAAGCTAGATGACGGCTTTACCGAAGTGACAATGACATGGCTTGCTCCTTCCTCAATATAACTCAAGCAATTCTCAGAATTGATTCCACCTCCAACTTGCAAACCGCCTAGAATTCATCGTCTTGTATCATAAATAACACATCAAAACTTTACATTTTCAATTCAAACAGTAAAAAACAAACACCATTTGACATTCATCTAAAGACAAACCTGGATAAGCATGTAATGCTCCAATAGCTGCAGCTTGGCTTAAAGGGTATGCTCCAAGCATTATCACATGACCACCCGTAAGACCATCTTCTTTGTACATCTTTGCATACTCCTCCGCAGACTTATCCGATTCAAAATTCGTTACAAGAACTGAACCTTCCTCTTTCAAGTCACTAAGTGTGGATCCAACTATTTGTTTCACTTTTCCCTATCGAAAATCACATCATACAGAGAAAGATCCATAAAAGGATTCACTTTTACTTAACCTGTGAGGATTTTTCAAATCGGTGAATTTGATTTGATACCTTGTGAATGTCGATGCAAGGTCTGAATTGAACAGCAGATATGAGCTGAACCCTCGATGGTTTAGAGATTCTGAGATGGTTGTTAAACAGAGAGCTCTGATTCTTCTTCTGGAACCAAGTGAGACCACCATTGGAGTATAATAATTGGGAGCTCAAAGTTCTCATCTTTGGAACTGAAACTGTTGTAATCACCAGTGACGTTTCTGGTTCTACATTTTCTAGGGTTTAGAAATCGGTTTAAACCGGTTTGGTTAAAACCAAAATCGATAAAGCTTGGGATTTTATTTTTTAATTATTGGTTTGGCAAAACAGAGAGTGATGCGATGGAACAAGAAGAATGTTATCAATCTCGTTTCCAAGTCCAATCATCTCCCGGCGCCGATTACGCCGCCGTCACCGGAGATTTACCGGACACCTAATCCTCCACCAAAGCTTCCGGAGATCTCAATTCCTCCGACTCTTACTCTCTCTCCATCTCCCAAACACTCCAATTTCGTCAATTTCCTCGAGAACAACCTCCCTCACCATCAAACCCTAACTCCACAAAATCTCCTCGGATTCCTCCGTTCTAAGCTCCGTCACCATCCGCTATTCGCTCATTATGATTTCGCCGTCTTCAATTGGGCAGCTACACTCGACACTTTCCGTCATGATCACGATTCTTTCCTCTGGATGTCGAGATCACTCGCCGCCACGCACCGGTTTGACGATCTATATCGTCTTCTATCTTTCGTAGCGGCGAATCCATGTCCTTGTTCTTCAGGTATCTTCTCTTGTCCAGAGCTTGAACCTATTTTCCGATCCGCCATTGATGCGTATTGTAGAGCTAGGAAAATGGATTATGCGTTGTTAGCGTTTGATACTATGAAGAGATTGATCGATGGTAAACCAAATGTTGGAGTTTATAACACTGTTGTGAATGGATATGTGAAATCTGGAGATATGGATAAGGCTTTAAGGTTTTACCAGAGGATGGGAAAGGAAAGAGCAAAGCCAGATGTATTCACGTTTAACATCCTCATAAATGGTTATTGTAGAAGCTCTAAGTTTGATTTGGCATTGGATTTGTTCAGGGAGATGAAGGAGAAAGGTTGTGAACCGAATGTGGTTAGCTTCAACACTCTGATTAGAGGGTTTTTGAGCAGGGGTAAAATCGAGGAAGGTATCAAAATGGCTTATGAGATGATTGAGATAGGTTGTAGATTCTCAGAAGCTACTTGTGAGATTCTGGTTGATGGGTTGTGTAGAGAAGGTCGGGTTGACGACGCTTGTGGATTGGTGATCGATCTTTCGAACAAGAGGGTTTTACCGAGTGAGTTTGATTATGGTAGTTTAGTTGAGAAACTCTGCGGAGAAAACAAGGCGGATAGAGCAATGGAAATGGTGGAGGAGCTGTGGAAGAAAGGCCAAACCCCATGTTTCATTGCTTGTACTACACTCGTAGAAGGGTTGAGGAAATCAGGAAGAACAGAGAAAGCATCAGGATTTATGGAGAAGATGATGAATGCAGGAATCCTTCCCGATAGTGTGACATTTAACTTGCTTCTTCGGGATCTCTGCAGTTCTGATCGTTCTACTGATGCAAACAGATTGAGACTTTTGGCATCAAGCAAAGGATATGAACCCGATGAGACAACGTACCATGTTTTGGTTTCAGGATTCACAAAAGAAGGGAGAAGAAAGGAAGGAGAAGTTATAGTGAACGAGATGTTGGATAAAGATATGTTGCCTGATATCTTTACATATAATAGATTGATGGATGGCTTGTCCTGCTCTGGAAAATTCTCAAGGAAGCAAGTCCGGATGTCGTAACCTGTGTTTGATCTGTGTAAATTAGACCCAAGCTATATCTATGTATCAACAAATTTTATTTTGACGATATGAAATGGAAACCAAGTTGGGTTCTTTATTTAATTGCTGTACATTGCCCCATGGAGCTATGGAGTAGAGAACCACACAATACACAAAGTAAAATCGGCAGCATAAAAACGAGCTAAAAACGAAAAAAGTATCGTGAAGATGCAATATTACCAATCCTCTAGTTCAACAGAAACCACATATGTTAACAATTGTAGAGATATAATCGACGCATTATCAGTGGGAGTTCTTTCAAGTGAGTGTGTTCTTAGTTTTTTTCACAAGTCACAGTTGTTTACTGTTTATATAAGTGTATTCTAGTGATTGCTGGTAATATCGCTATTGAATTTTTTTTTTACTGAATGAAAAATGACAACAATACTCTGCTATAACTCTCATAATCTTATAAGTATGTTTATGGTTTGAGAAGTGTGATTCTTCTTCTCCTTTTTTGTTGGGGAAGTGACATAGAGAAAACTCCGATTTCTAAAACAACCTATTCAAGAACACGACCAGAGGCAGAGACAGAGCATATACACACCCACACAGATTCTTGATCATACATCAAAACATCTTGCTGTATCCGAGAGAGAAGGCAGTACCAGTACACACACGTTTGTTATTGCTGCAGTGTGCAGGATAGTGATTAGATCGGGCTTTAGACTCGGGGATAACGAGAGCTGCCTTTCTTCTTCAAGAACTCCGGAATCTCCACTGAACCACTTTCTCTAAAGGAGGAAGAGGGTCTTCTTGTAGCTCCAACTGACGCTGCATCCGCTTGTGCCATCTGAACCGCCCGTCCTTCTCCCTCTTCTTGTCGTTTGAAACCCGTAGCTATCAGGGTTATGCTTACCTTTTACCGGAAAAAAAAACATAAATTTTATTATCTCTAGAGGTCATATCCATGTTTAGTAGAGACACATTAAAAAGGACATACTTGACCGCTGAGGGCTGGATCCACAACAGCGCCGAATATAAGATTGGCAGTTGGATCGACAAGATCATAGATTACTTCCGCAGCAGCATTTACCTACACAAAGACCAAAGTGAATGAAAAACTATAGAGCAATTTAGGGGTATGAAGCAAAAGCAGGCTTTGCTCTAAGTTGTCTATGGAAGGATTTAAATAAACCCTGTCAATGCGTCTCCCAAGAACCAATTATTGTTTATGGATCTATTGACACTGAGATAAGAAACAAAGATGAGAGAGAGAAAA